GTTGCATGCTTCTTCTTCATATATGTGAATACAAGCAAAGCTAGAGAGAAGGAATACTGAAGGGGACAGAGAAGCTGGTGATGACATCCTCATCCACACAGTGTTATTGATCTCTTTTGCCTGCATCTTGTGATTTTCTTACTTTGTGTCATAAATTTTGTAATTGGATGATTAGGCCAAAACACACAGATAATCAGATGAATAGATTTTTGAACACAGAAATGTGTCAATGGCCTATGACAACTAAGAATATAGTACAATTGGTATTATTTCAACTAGACTATTATTACTATATGTATGTCCAGTCACTTTGTCAGTTATAGATAATTCCTTTAATATGCTAAAGGAGCAGTTGTTTCAGATCCATTTTAACTGTATGCCTTCATATGATTTTGTGTAATACCTGCTGCATTTAAAACTACATTTCCATTTTTTCTGAATTTGGTCTCTTCTTATCAGAACCAAGAAGAACAGGAGGGTTTTTTCTCACTGATGTGGAGTTTATTATGCTGCAAATGAAAGTACAAGCGCATTGAAATGCATTGCAGAGCAAGTATGTATTTTTTTTAGTTACTTTCACTGTAATTACATGGATAAATGTTAACAGTTTGAGATTTTCCCAAAGGTATCCCTGTTAACCGTTCGATAATTGATGCTATTTTTTTTAGCTTAGTTAATGCTTGATATTTACCTCAGGTGGCAAATTAAACGTGAATCACGTCAAAAGCAGCAAGAAAAATTGAGAAAAACATAGCCAAGGCTGAGGCAACCTCAATGGAGAATGCAGAAATCAGATCCCGTGAAGAACAGGTGTTTTTGTTATTATTGTTGTTGTTGTTGTTGTGTTGGTTATTTTTTTTTGGGGGGAGATACATGCATGCTATTAGAGTGCTTATGTCAAATAAATTCACCATTGATTATTTATTCTTATAGCCTTTGTTTTATGAATGATTCCATTGGCAGGAGCTGAAACGCATTGCAGAAGTGAAGGAGGATTTGCGAAATACCAAGACACAAGCTTAACCCTGACATCTCAGCTTGTGAAGTAAAGATGATCATTGCAACTTGGAACAACATGAAAGATGTTGAATTGGAGATAATTGAGGTGTGTAAAGAAAAATGAGATTTCTCTCTTTCTTCTTCTTCTTCTTCTTCGTTTTTCTTCTAACTTTCTTAATTTCATATATTATATTTTATTTTTCACTTACCTTGCATCAATTATTATGTTATGCTTTATTTTTTGATGTATACTGTATTAGTGAGTATGTTTTACATGTGAAGAAAAATTTAGTCAGCGAGTCAAAAAAATCCTATGGTGACATTTACAGTTAAAGTAAGTTTATTAAAGTAAATAAAAAATTATATAACATCCCAAATTCATTTCAGACCATTTTTATTCATGTTATGGAAAATTAATTGTGTATTCTAATTTACATCATGTAGGGCAAAGAGAGGATAGAGAAATTAGCCAGCCAAGTTGTGCAGGCCAGCGAACGTCAAGAAATAGAAGAGCGCGAGCGTAAGTTGGCCGTGTGCAAGAACGAAAATGAGAAAAAGTCCCGCCGTTTGGCCGAGTTAAAGCAGTCACTACAGACCTTCACTTCTGCTCACGATTTGGTTAAGGAGCAGTTGCTTGGGGTTATGCAGGAGATACAGCAAGGAGTTGCCAAGCAAAAGTAAGTGGGTGTGTGGGGGTGTGCTTGTGTGTGCGTGTATGAGTGAATGCATTTGTGTTTGTGTGCCTGTGTTTGTCCTGTAAATATATTAGTAATCTGCGTGTAATTTTTATAGGGAATGTCTGGCAGGACTGAGCCAGAAGGACCGTTCTAAAGGCTAGTACTTGAAGAAACCGAAGACATTTCCATGAAAATTCAGCAGCTGATGGAACAGTTAGCCTCCAAGCAAGAGAAGATTTCACTGCTACACATGTCATGGAAGCTGAAGAAGGAGAGCCTCCAACACGAAGTTAACCAGCGCAAGTCGTGAGTACACGCGGCAAAATTACAAAGGAGCATTTATACGAATTTTATGTACAGTTGGATAACCCCTTTCTTGGACTTTACTCCACACTATTCTCACTGGTTCTTCTCCCTGTACGTAATCAGAACTCTGGAGGAGATGCGGCGCAATCAGACTGCGGAGAGATTGTTCTCCAGGACATGGAAGCCGAGCATGAAGGGATCCTAGCCAGGAGACTCAGCAAACTACAGGAACAGTTAGCTGATTTCAACCATTTTATTGCATCACATTACCAGAATATTTTGCAAGCTGTACGTAATATTATAATTTCCTCTCTTTAATTTCATCATTGATATCCTTAGGGTTATTTTTCTTTTATATATATACATATATACATATACATACATATATAAATATATATATATATATATATATATATATATATATATATATATATATATATATATATATATATATATATGTATGTATGTATGTATATATATATATACATATATATATATATATATGTATGTATGTATGT